AGAATCTCTTGTAACTTGTGTTAATACCTAAACTAAGTAAAACTGTAGGTAGAATTTCGGAACTTGAAAGAGAGAAAAGTAAAATTCGTGAAATGCCAATTTCTTTTTTAGCATTCCGTAATAATATAATATAATGTTAAATATAAATTTAACATATTTAATATAATATAATATTAAATATAAATTTACCATAGTTAATATAATATAACATTAAATATAAATTTACCATATTTAATATAATATAATATTAAATATATTAAATCTATATTTAATATATTTCATATAACAATCTAGTAAATTACAAACATATTAAATCTATATTTAATATATTTAATATAATAATAATTATAATAATATTTTAATACTTTCGAAATGTATACTCTGTTAGTGAAGAAAGTTCAAAAAACCAAATTTCCTTCGGAAGATTTCGGAACCTGAGGGAGAGAAAAGTAAAATTCGTAGAATGTCAATTTTTTTTTTTCTAGTATTCCGAGCAAAGCTCGTTCGTTGAGTATTAATATTAATACGTGCATACGTGAGAGATACTGTGTCATACTGCGCGAAACTCGATCGTTTTTCGGACGAGCCGGTGAGGACGCGCTCGTTCAAGGTCCGCCAGTGAACTCGAAAACGAGAGAAAGAGAGAGAGAGAGAAAGAGAGAGAAGCTGCGATCGAGTAAAACGAGGTCGTCGTTGCAAGTCATAAAGCGATCCTCCGGCCAGTAATTCACTCGGTGCCGCGTTTCTAGACGCTTGTCGCCGTTGTGATACATGGCCGCAGCCGGCACTGCAATTAGTATCTCGCGACAAAACAGGGCTTCAACGCTGGAGACGTTCGCCGATCGCTTCTGAACGGCCAACGTCGCCAAAGTAGATAACTTCACTCGTCGCCGCGTTCCAATCGCGTTTTTCTTCAAACTTCCACTCCCTTTCTATTGTCTCTTATTCCTCCAACCATAGGTTGTGTTCCTCCAACGAGGCAAAACCGATCGGCTCAATCTCGTGCAATTAATACAATAGTTTGTATTAATAATAATAAATAATATAAATAATTAACGTTGTTTAATAATAATAAATAATATAAATAATTAACGTTGTTTAATAATAATAAATAATATAAATAATTAACATATAATAATATTATATATATTACAATATTATTATTAATGTCATATATTATAATAAAATATAATATAATATAATAATAATAAAAAATAATTCCTAGAGAAAAAATCTGTTCTTTTCTTCCTACTATTGTATTATTATTTATATCATAAAATATATAATATAATAAAATATATATCATATTATAAATTATATTACAAATATATTATATATTATAATATAATATAATATAATAATAATAAATAATAATTCGTAAAAAAAATCTGTTCTTTTCTTCCTATTATTATATTATTATTTATATCATAAAATATATAATATAATAAAATATATATCATATTATAAATTATATTATAAATATATTATATATTATAATATAATATAATATAATAATAATAAATAATAATTCGTAAAAAGAAATCTGTTCTTTTCTTCCTATTATTATATTATTATTTACGTTACACAATAATATATAATATAATATAATAATATTATAATATTATAATAATAAATAATAATTCGTTTAAAAAATTCGTTCTTTTCTTCCTATTATTATATTATTATTTATAATAATATTATTATTTATATTATATAATAATATATAATATAATAAAATATATAATATATTACAATATAATATAATATAATATAATAATAGTAAATAATAATTCGTTCTTTTCTTCCTATTATTATATTATTATTTATATTATATAGTAATATATAATATAATAAAATATATATTATATTAATAAAATATATATAATAATTCCTTTAAAAGAATTCGTTCTTTACTTCCTTTACTTAAACTCCGTTCTTTACTTAATTATTACATTATTATTTATATCATATAATAATATTATAATATAATAAAATATACATTATATTACAAAATATATTATACTATATATTATAATATAATATAATAATAATAAATAATAATTCGTACAAAAAAAATTCGTCCTTTCCTTCGTAAGTTAGTTTCGCTCGAAGGACATAAATTCGCGAAGTGCCATTATCAGACGCGAATGGCCGAGCAGTCATTATACTCGCGCGACAGCGGTGTCAACCCCCTTGCCTCATGACTTCTTCAGCAGCCATTAATACTTAAGCGAGCCATCAGCCGTCATTCGTGGCTGTAACACACCGTGACGGATGCAAAGTATTGCGTATTTCGGCATTATTTGGTAATTTCAAATTTAGGTATTTAGCGAGCCACTGGCTCGATGAATAGGGGGAACGCGCCAAGTTGCACAGTGCCTCGACTGAACTTTCGTGACAAAAAGTTTGCCGAAACGAGGAACTTTGTCGAACAGGGGGGTGGGAAGTGGGAGACCGTGATCCGTTTCGCGAACGTGATTCGATATTTCCAGGCGACGGGTTAAGGACAAGTTGTCGCGGAGACGAATGGCTTCCAGAGTGATCGATTTTGCCCAAAACGATACGTGATTTACCCAGTTTTGTTAGAAACATTGCTCCACAGCGTTTTGTATATTTCTTCCAATTTTATATGTATATATTTCTTTCAATTTCACGTTTATACTTGTTCCAATTTTATATTTATGTTTCTTCCAATTTTACGTTTATATTTGTTCCAATTTTGCATTTATATTTCATTCAAATTTTACATATATATTTTTCTAATTTTATGTTCATGTATTTCTCCCAATTTTATATTTACAGTTCTTCCAATTTTATGTTTATATATTCCTTCTGATTTTATATTTATATTTCTTCCAATTTTCATTTATATTTCTTCTAATTTTATATTTACATGTTAAGTTAGGAAACAAAATTTTATTTAAATTTTAAAATTGACACTTCAGATGAAATTAAATTTCCAAAATTTTGAAATTAAAATTTCAGATGAAATTAAATTTCCAAAATTTTGAAATTAAAATTTCAGATGAAATTAAATTTCCAAAATTTTGAAATTAAAATTTCAGATGAAATTAAATTTCCAAAATTTTGAAATTAAAATTTCAGATGAAATTAAATTTCCAAAATTTTGAAATTAAAATTTCAGATGAAATTAAATTTCCAAAATTTTGAAATTAAAATTTTAGATAAAATTATAAATTTCCAAAATTTTGAAATTAAAACTTCAGATGAAATTAACTTTTATTAAATAATTAATTGAATAAAATTAAATTTCATTGGAAGAAATATAAAGAACACAAACAAATGCGTCTGACAAACGCGTATGTACGTAATTGGAAATTCTCGCATTATTAAGAGAACGTACGGAGTTCACCTCGTCAACTCGCAACGACACCAACAACTGCGAAGAAACCCCATCCGCGTTACGAGCAACGATATTATTAATCAACTTCCTGCCTGACTATCCTGCAATAAAACCGCTCTCGTCGAAATTATGCATCATGGAGGAACTTCCAACCACCTAAATCCCCATACCTTCATCCCTGCAAATCCTTCCAACGTACTTAGCCTTTTCCAAAAATAATCACCGCGGTTGATGTTCAACCCCCCATGAAACATCGTCAGAACCCCAACATCCCTTGAAGTTTTTAGAGGGACCGCCCCTAAAGACTAACGTTTAAATAAAACCCCCTGGTCGTGGAATTAGGACCACTCGGTGTGTTCTTGGACTTGTTGAAATATTTCTAAAGAAGCTGTAGCGTTCGAAGGTAACATAATCGTTTAAAGTATTTACTTATCATATTTTTCCATCTGTTTTCGAGCATCAAACTTTTTCTGGAGGAGGAGATTCGCTTGAATTTGCAAAATGTTTTTGTAATCCTGGATCACTCGTGTAGTAAACAAATTTCTTTTGATTTTAATGTATTGTTTTTATCATTACTTTTGTGTTATATATGTAATATATTTCATTGAATAATGTAAAATATAATACGACGATGTAATATACAATATAATAATGAAATATGTCACTTTTATGTAATATATTTGCGTTTATGTCACTTTTGTATTATATGTAACATATTTCTTTATATAATATGCATACTCGTGATGTAATATACAATGAATATAATAATAAAAAATACGATATAATATAATATAATATAATATACAATATACAATATAATATTGTACAATATACAATATAATACAATATACAATAAAATATATCACTTTTGTATTATATGTAACATATTTTATTATATGATATGCATACTCGTGATATAATATACAATGAATATAATAATAATGAAATATACAATATACAATGAATATAATAATAATGAAATATACAATATACAATATAGTATAATATAATATACAATATAATATATCACTTTTGTATTATATGTAACATATTTCATTACATAATGCAGCATGCTCGCTATATAATATACAATAAAATAACGAAATGTACAATATAATATAATATATCACTTTTGAGTTACATGTAACATGTTTCATTATATAATATAGCATACTTGCAATATAATGTACAATATGATAATGAAATATACAATATACCATACAGTATACAATATAATGTAACATATAACATACAATATAATATAATATATCACTTTTGTATTACATGTAACATGTTTCATTATATAATATAGCATACTTGTGATATAATATACAATATGATAATGAAATATACAATATAACATACAGTATACAATATAATATAACATGTAACATACAATATAATATAATATATCATTTTTCTGTTACATGTAACACATTTCATTATATAATACAGCATACTCACGATACAATATACAATATAACAATGAAACATAATATATGTATATTACATGTATTATATGTATATTGTATATATACATATTTCACACGCAACTATCTATATGTATACATTATACATGTGGGTGTATATACGTATCTATATACATTCTGCATACTCGTCACGAGCCACTCGCAGTGGAGCACGCGAATCGCGCTCATTCGTTCGCGCGTGCTCGTGCGAAAAGCTTTTCGAAGATGCTGCGTGCGCGAAGATGTATTTCCAAACGCTGGCTCGGCGTTTTCACGGTGCTGCTCGTGTCTCTCGCGAGCGACTCGCGTGCGTACACGGCGAAAGTGACGACGAGATTTGGACGTGTCCACGGATTCCTGAGGAACTCCGATTACGGTAGGCAAAGACTCGTCGCGCACTACTTCGGCATCCCTTACGCTGAACCGCCCGTCGGCGATCTTAGGTTCAGGGTGAGTCAATTCCGCCATGTTCCCACGTCGAATTTTCAGCTCTTGCAATAACGTGAGAATTATCGAATTTTGGGAATTTAGCATTTTAAGAATTAAAAAATTTTAGAATTTTAGAATTTTAGAATCTTAGAATCGCAGAATCTTAGAATTTTGGGAGTTTAGCATTCTAAGAATTTTAAAATTTTAGAATTTTAGAATTTTAGAACTTTAGAACTTTAGAATTTTAGAATTTTAGAACTTTAGAACTTTAGAATTTTAGAATTTTAGAATTTTGAGAGTTTTAGCAATTCGAGAAATTTAGACTTTTGAGAGTTTCAGAACTTCGAGGGTTTTAGCAGTTTGAGAATTTTAGAATTTCGAGCGTTTCAAAATTTTAAAATATTAGAATTTTGAGTTTTAAAATTTTTACAAATTGAGAATTGTGAGAGTTCTAAAATTTTAGCATTTCAAGTTTTAGAATTTGAAAATTTTAGAATCATGAGAGTTTCAGCATTTTGAGAGTTTTAAAATTGTAGAATTTTGAGAGTTTTAGAATGTTGAGAACTTTATGAATCTTGAGTTTTAGAATTTTTGCATATCGATTTTTAGAATTTTGAACATTTTTAAATTTCAAGAGTTTTAGAATTTTAAGAATTTCAACATCTTGAGAATTTTAGAATTTTTAGAATTTTGGACGTTGTGAAATTTTCGAATTTTAAGAGTTTTAGCATTCTGACAATTTTAGAATCTCGAGAGTGTTAGAATTTTGAGAGTTTTAATAAAATTTCGCATATCCCCGCAATAATCAGACCTCTGAATTCTAGAATCCAAAGCCGTGGTGCAAATACTTTACCAGAGCATTTGCCGCGATGAAAGTTATGCCCGTGTGCGTTCAGTTGGACGATAACATGAACGTCGTTGGACAAGAGGACTGTCTCTATCTGAACATCAACGTACCTGTGGTAAACTTCTTCTTCTTCTTCTTCCTTTTTTTTTTTTTTTTTTTTTTTTTTTTTCCCCCCCCCCTTTTTTTTTTTTTTTTTTTAAGAAAGAAAATTCTAAATACTTAGAACTAATAATACCACAATAGTTTCTTATCTGAAATGATATTTTCCAGCCAAGAGATCTTTTTCACCGTTATTTCAGCCACGAATCGCGATTATCCTTGAAAAGGGAAGGAAACAGTTTCGTTGATATCGTGTCTCTAGAATTTCGTGTTACATTTTGAATATTTTCCCAACAGGGAAACTTCATCCAATCATTTTCCATTTTTTTCCTCCATAAAATTCAACAAGTTTCCTTATCAATTACGTCAATAACTCCGTATAAATTGTTCGCACAAAGTGTTAACAACTTGAATATAAACTTTCTGAGAAACGTTCCGGCTGGAATAACGTGGAAAAATGCGATCTCGATTGGCTGGCAAGGTCGCCACTCTCGATCTAATGAAATTTAAACGATCCAAGGCCCGCTTGTTTTTTCCTTTTCAATTAAAAAAAAAAAAAAAACACTTTTTACGTCATTGCCTGGAAGAACTTCACTTACGCGAGGAAAACGCGTGAAAATAATAGATTTCAGAGAAACACGGGGAGAGCTGCGCGCTGCTTCCGGTTCTCGTGTACGTGCACAGCGGATGGACTCGCACTGATTATCGTCATCTCCCGACAGATTACATGATGGATCAGGACGTGATCCTGGTCGTTGTCCAGTATCGCTTGAATATTTTTGGTAATAACTAAATCCCTCGTAAGTTGTTCAGCAGTCGAGGAAATTAATTATTATAATCATTAATAATTGTAGTAATTAACAACTATAGTCCTTAATTATTATAATTGCAATATAAAGATAATTATTATAATTATAGTTATAATACAAAGATAATTATTATAATTATAGTCATAATATAAAGATAATTGTTATAATTATTATAATTATAGTTATAATACAAAGATAATTATTATAATTATAGTTATAATATAAAAATAATTATTATAATTATAGTTATGATATAAAAATAATTATTATAATTATAATAATATATATTATAATATAAAAATTATAATTATAATGTTATTATAATATTATAGTTATAATATAAAAATAACTATTATAATTATAGTTATAACATAAAAATAACTATTATAATTATAGTTATAAAATAAAAATAACTATTATAATTATAGTTATAATATAAAAATAATTATATTAATTATAGTAATTATTATAATATATATTATAATATAAAAAGTATAAATATGATATTATTATAATATTATTATAATATTATAGTTATAATATAAAAATAATTATTATTAGTATAATTATAGTTATAATAAAGATATAATATAAAGATCTAAAGATATATAATATAAAGATAATTGTTATAATTATAGTTATAATATAAAAATAATTATTGCAATTATTATAATATATATTACAGTATAAAAATTATAATTATATTATTATAGTATCATTATAATATTATAGTTATAATATAAAAATTTATATAATTATAGTTATAATATAAAGATAATTGTTATAATTATAGTTATAATATAAAGACAATTATTATTATTATTATAATTATAGTTATAATATACAGATAATTATTATAATTATAGTTGTAATATAAAAATAATTATTGTAATTATTATAATATATATTGTAATATAAAAGCTATAATTATAATATTATTATAATTATAATTATAATATAAGAATAATTATTAACGTCATTTTTATTAACGCCATTCCAACTGAAGAAGCATAAAATTTCCACCAAAATAGAAAGACAGAGAGACACGATAAATTACACGTGCTTCGCAAAAGAAAATTATTTAAAATCCCCCAAGAAATCCACTGCCTCGTGTCCGTAAAATTTCCTAAAAAGAAAAGAAAAAAATTTTTAGAAACCTGGTCATTTCAAAACTGATATTAAACACCGGTAATTGCGGTGTCAAGGTTAAGATATAAACCCCTGTCGAGAAATTGGGAATGTTAGAACGTTCGAAGGACATTTCGTGAAAATGGCAATTGCAGGATTCTTCGGCACAGGCACGGAAGCCAGTCCAGGCAACTACGGTCTCAAAGACATCGTCATGGCTCTGCGATGGATTCAAGGAAATATCGGCTCGTTCGGTGGCGATCCGAACTCCGTAACTCTATGGGGCCACGGCGAGGCTGCCAGCCTGGTGCATATGCTGGCTCTCACGAAGAAAACCGAAGGCTTGTTTCACAGGTACGTCACACGTGAAACATCTGTTCCGGTTTTATCCATCGGGCTGATTTAAAAGAGAATTGAAATTTGGATATTATAAGAGAAGGGGGAATATTTATAATATTTCAATCAACAGGTACATCATCCAGAGTGCAACTGCTCTCTGCCCTATGGCCGTCAACTCGAGAACTCGAACGAGGAAGATTGCCTTGGCGACGGCCAGGTCGTTCGACTGTCTTCCTCGAAACGACGAAAAAAATGTCACGACCACGCGAACAAACGTGACGAACGAGGAGGAAGAGGAGGGGGAACAAGAAGAGTTAGACGAGGAACACGAGAAGGCGATGATGCACTGCTTGAGAGAAGTGAAAGACATCGAGAGATTCAGAAAAGTGATGAACTACCCTGTAAGACAAGTTCTTTCTGAATTTTTTCTTTTTTTTTTTCTTCATTTCCAAATTGTTCGTCGGTTGAGATTTTCTTTGTTTCTTCTCAAAGATGTTTCTTCGTTTTAGAAACAGAAGGACTGGCGGAGCAATCGTTGCTGCGTCTTCGCGCCGACCATCGAGAAAGAGTCAGACGACGCTATAGTGACCGTTCATCCCCTAACAATAATGGAGCATCGTCTGTTTAGGGACATTCCATTTATCATGGGAGTCGTGCACGACGAAGGACTGTACAAATCGATAGGCAAGTCTGAGCAAATTCTGCAAAGGGAAGTAGCAACGAAACATTGTCGACGCTTAAAGAAAAAAAAAAATTCTCTCGGTCTCGTTTCAAAACTTAAAGCTTTTACTACAAGTCTTGTAAAAGTAAAAGTTTTTCTTTTCCTTTCTTCTTTTTTTTTTTTTTTTTCTTGAGTGGAAAAGAACAAATTTGTCTAAAACGTTTAGACATTTGTCCAAAATTCAAACGTCCCTAAAAACGTCGAAAAATTTTCTTCACAATCAGATCCATCGTGATCCTGAAGATTGAAATCTCTCCTTTGCAACGAGCCCTTGAAACTTGCTGTACGATTTTCCCTCGCAGTTTTATCGAACTTTGAACCAGTTGGTGATTTCTCGAATTTTTGAATTTTTAAATTTCGAATCTTTCTCCTCCCCCTTGGTCAGCGTGCGTCCCACTTTATCGACGAAGAGTATCGGAGATCCCTTCCCGGCGATTCCTTCGGTACTGAAGAGCAGAATAATTCGCGAGGTGTTTTTTAAAAAATTATCCCCGGTTACTCCCGTGACGCTGTTATTACCGTGTGGCGAAATTCAATTATAAGTTTTAATTGATTTTTGAAAATGTTGCCCGTTTCGATTTCAAGCGATCCTGACGAACGTAACCGCCAAACTGCTAAATAATTTCGAGACGAATTTGCACCACGTCCTGCAATATTCTCAGCTGATTTCCAACGTCACCGGGTTCACGCGAGCCATCGGGGACTTCTACTTCGGCGGCAACGTTTTCACAGGGTCGCTGGACAGAAATATTACCGAGGTAAGCGGATCTTTCATGGATTAATCATGCAAACTTTAAAATATACTTTGAATGTCTGGAATTCTGAGAATCTAGAATTTTGGAATTTGGGGATTTTGCAGGTTTCGAATCGAAATTTTACAAGTTCAACTGTTGTTTCGAAACATTTTGGAATTTCGAGATTCCAGGAATTATGGGATTTTGGAATTGTGGGATTCTAGAATTTTGGAATTTGGGGATTTTGCAGGTTTCGAATCGAAATTTTACAAGTTCAACTGTTGTTTCGAAACGTTTTGGAATTTCGAGATTCCAGGGATTATGGGATTTTGGAATTGTGGGATTCTAGAATTTTGGAATTTGGGGATTTTGCAGGTTTCGAATCGAAATTTTACAAGTTCAACTGTTGTTTCGAAACGTTTTGGAATTTCGAGATTCCAGGGATTATGGGATTTTGGAATTGTGGGATTCTAGAATTTTGGAATTTGGGGATTTTGCAGGTTTCGAATCGAAATTTTACAAGTTCAACTGTTGTTTCGAAACGTTTTGGAATTTCGAGATTCCAGGGATTATGGGATTTTGGAATTGTGGGATTCTAGAATTTTGGAATTTGGGGATTTTGCAGGTTTCGAATCGAAATTTTACAAGTTCAACTGTTGTTTCGAAACGTTTTGGAATTTCGAGATTCCAGGAATTATGGGATTTTGGAATTGTGGAATTCTAGAATTTTGGAATTTGAGGATTTTGCAGGTTTCGAATCGAAATTTTACAAGTTCAATTGTTGTTTCGAAACATTTTGGAATTTCGAGATTCCAGAAATTATGGGATTTTGGAATTGTGGGATTCTAGAATTTTGGAATTTGAGGATTTTGCAGGTTTCGAATCAATATTTTATAAGTTCAATTATTGCTTCGAGACATTTTGGAATTTCGGCAGTCTTGGAATTGGAGTTTAGAAACTCCGGAATTTCGAAATTTTGCAAATTTATGAATACCGTCATTTCGAAATATTGGAATCATGAGATTTCTGAAACTTTGGAATTCTGAAATTTTGAAATTTTGGGATTTTGTAAATTTTGAATTGAAATTTTATAAGTTCAATTCAAAATTTACAAATTATTATTTATTAATTATTATTTCGAGACATTTTGGAATTTCGGGGATCTTGGAATTCTGGAATTTTGAAATTTTGGGATTTTGTAAGTTTTGAATTGAAATTTTACAAGTTCCATTGTTATTATTTCGAGACATTTTGGAATTTCGAGATTTTTGGAATTCTGGAGTTTGGAAATTCTGGAATTTTAGAATTTTGAAAGTTTGCAAGTTTTAAATATTGTCACTTCGAGATATTGGAATCTTGGGATTTTCAAAAATTTCGGGATATATTGAAATTTTTAAATTCAGGAATTTCAAAATCCCAAATTTTTAAACTTGCGTCCGATTTTGTTATCGTTCTCAAATTATCGAAAATCCTGCACGTCCAACGTTTCAAATTCATCATTAATTATTTTACAAATCAATGAACCAGGCATACAGTTTCTTTAGCAGAGTAATTCCATTAAATGATTCAGCCCATTACTCGTTGTAAATTATTCCATCTACGAACGATAGGTCATTATTTATCCAAATGATCGTACGATATAATTATACGATTAAACGTTAACGAGCGCGTTGTCAATATTACATTCTTCACTGGGATCCATCCTGCAAGCTCTAGTAAATTTCACAGATGATCGGCGACGCTCTTGTTTTCTGGCCAGCGTATCAAACGCTCAAGTATCAATCGGACAGGATGAACTCATCTACTTACTTTTACTTGTTCTCGTACGAGGGCACCTTTACCAGTACTTTTGATTCAGGAATTCCAAAACATTTCGGTGAGAATCTTCGATACATGTATATAATTAACATTCAGAAATTTCTAAGATTCGGAAATTTCTAAAATTTGTAAAATTCAATATATATATATATATATATATTTCTAAATTTTAGAAATTTCTGAATTTTAGAAATTTTCGTATCTTAGGAATTTCTGAATTTTAGAAATTTTCAGTATCTTAGAAATTTCTAAATTTTAGAAATTTCCGAATCTTAGAAATGTTTTGAATCTTAACAATTTCTAACTTTTAGAATTTTATGAATCTTAAAAATTTCTAAATTTTAGAAATTTCTGAATTTTAGAAACTTTCGGTATCTTAAGAATTTCTGAATTTTAGAAACTTTCGGTATCTTAGAAATTTCTGAATCTTAGAAACTTTCTAACTTTTAAAATGTTTTGAATCTTAAAAATTTCTAAATTTTGGAATTTTCTGAATCTTAAAAAATTTCTAAATTTCAGAAATTTCTGAATTTTAGAAACTTCTGAATCTTAGAAAATTTCTAACCTTCAGAATTTTCTGAATCTTAAACACTTCTAAATTTTGGAATTTTCTGAATCCTAAAAATTTCTAAATTTTAGAATTCTCCGAATTTCAGAAATTTCTGTGCCCACCCTAAAATTTCCACAAAAATTCCGCAAGTTTCCTCGCTCGTTTTCTTGCCTCCAGACTAAGTTAAAGTCAATTGAACTTGTGCAGGAGTCTCGCACGGGGACGATTTGAACTACCTGCTACCGATACTGAATAAAAAGTATCACGATTACATGCTGCACAATACGGAGAACGACGTGACCATGATCAATATAATGACCGAGATGTGGGCCGGCTTTGCAACCAAAGGGTGAAAAAAGTTATTCAGTTATTCGTTTATAACATTCCTCTCTTCTTTCGCCGTGGAGAATTTTATAGTAGTTTTCAATTAACGTAATTCACGGAACAGAGTGCCAGAAGCTTGGAAAGTGACGCCGTGGCCGGATTACAAGAAGTCTCACAGGTTCTTGCGACTCGGGGCGGGCAAACTTTCGGACATAGCAGAGGAGAGCGAACTTTTCCCAAAGAGGATGGCGTTCTGGGAGGAATTGACGGCAAATCTGACTCTGAATCCGATCGACTTCGACTTTCCCCAATATATCGAGGACGACGAGTCGAACAGTAGCGTTCCCAAACAACGTAGCGAAATGTTCATTTGCTTAACAATGCTCCTCGCAATCTGCTTCTTGTAAATTTAGTAGCAGCGACGCCAGAGTAAGGAAAGAGTGAAATTTCGCGGGCAACAGATCCCAGAAGGATGAAATTTCAAATCGTTTTATTTTATTATTACCCAATAACGGCGATAAGAGTAAAATGAATAAAATTGATATAAGGCGATGTACCTCCAAGTTTAGGAACTGATTGTAAAACTGAGCGAGCAAATTAAAAATTACTATTTCGGTTTTTGATACGGAGACGAAGTGATTGTGGGATTAGCTATTTTGAAATTATCTGGCTCTCTCTAGACACAAGGTTTTTGAAAATCAATACATACATATATATATGGAAATAAATATAATTAAAAGAATAGTAATTAATTGAAAAATATGGATGAAAAATAATTTTATAAATATTAATTTTAAAAATGTTTATGTCTATATATATATATATAAAATTTCTAAAATTAACATTTATGAAATTATTTTTTAATTAAATATATATATGTAAATGTTTCCTTGTATATATGTATAAAAAAATTTCTAAAATTAATATTTATGAAATTATTTTTCAATTAAATATATATATGTAAATGCTTCCTTATATGTACATAAAAAATTTCTAAAATTCATCCATATTTTTCAATTAAATATATATATACATATATATATAAAATTTCTAAAATTAATATTTATGAAATTACTTTTCAATTAAATATATATATGTAAATGTTTCCTTATATATACGTAAAAAAATTTCTAAAATTAATATTTATGAAATTATATTCCATCCATATTTTTCAATTAAATATATAAATATATAAAAATTTCTAAAATTAATATTTATGAAATTATTTTTCAATTAAATATATATATGTAAATGCTTCCTTATATGTACATAAAAAATTTCTAAAATTCATCCATATTTCTCAATTAAATATATATATACATATATATATATAAGATTTCTAAAATTAATATTTATGAAATTATTTTTCAATTAAATATATATATGTAAATGTTTCCTTATATATACGTAAAAAAATTTCTAAAATTAATATTTATGAAATTATATTCCATCCATATTTTTCAATTAAATATATAAATATATAAAAATTTCTAAAATTAATATTTATGAAATTATTTTTCAATTAAATACATATATATGTAAATGTTTCCTTATATATACGTAAAAAAATTTCTAAAATTAATATTTATGAAATTATTTTTCACCCATATTTTTCAATTAAATATATATCTATCTATTTATATATATATAAATCATTTGTAATCGAGTAGAACGAACAAAGGGGGATGATGAAGAAAGAAGGATCTCCCGCGAGTGGCCACGGTCGCGTTTCCATCAAGACGGGGGGGGGCCCCACGGAAAGCATATAATGGAATCCGGTGGAAATTAAGTTGGCCAACGAGTGTGGAGAGTTTAAACGCTTGCATAAAATACGCGGTACGTTCGCGCTCCGGGGAAATTAATCATCCGGCCCCGGGCCGGTGTTTGTCTTCTTTCCGTTTCGTTCGCGCTCATTCCCCGTTCGCGTGCACGCCGCCAAATTAAGAAAAAAACGCGCCCTCCCACCCTCCCATCACCCTTCTTTCTCTCGCTCTTTCATTCACCACCATGGATTTGCCGCTTTTCGTGCTTTTCGTACTTTTGTCCACGGTTTGTTTGTCGGCTGTTTCTCTTCGCCAGGGAAATTGGGAAGCAATATTTTCTCCCCCTCTCTCTTCCCATTCTCGCCCACTGCTTCCGCCGAGGCAAGAAAGAACCAAGTAGTAGAAGTGGCGTCGAATTGTAATTGAGGCGCAGTGAGAAAAAAATGATCTCGGAACGATTGGACCACCGCATTTCGAAACACCGGAAACGGGCAGGCGAACTGGAAATCGACACGTTGTAGCCAACGATTCCGCGCGTCACCGAATTTTCGAAGGGCACTCGGGGCGCCCCCCGTGTTTGCCCACGTACACTTGGCCCGAGGAGGAGGCTCGAAACCGCTTTGAAAACGATTATTCGACTGCTGGGCAAACAGCGGGCAGCAAACCGGGTTCGTCGCACACCGGCCCAACTTATTTGTCTATGCAAATGGTCAATCAACGGCCCCGTCTACTCGGCCCTCGTGCCCTGTTTTCGATTCGAGTGTCCGCCCGCTTTCCTGTTTTTCCTCGCGCCTTCCGTGCTTCCTCCCTTGGCGACCTTCAGTGAACCGGTTAACAAAAATATACATACGCAGTCGCCCGGCGGCCGTGCCTCACTCTTTGAAACCTCTGCGACGGGGATCGAAACCCTTTGAAACTTCTTGCCTGTTATTGTTCTCGCGAGAATTCTTCGAAACATTCTCTCGCGAACGTGTAAAAAGAAAAAAAAAAAAAAAAAAACACTGAGTGCGTACTCGGCCCTCGAATTGCAAAGATCCACTGGAAGCTTTGAAGCTTCCGACCTACCGAGATCCAAGATCTTCGACCCGCACATTTGGTGGAAATTATTTATACTGGGAAACAGTATGTAACAGTATGCTTTTACTGTTGAAATATGCTGACAAATGAAGTATACTGTTTTAATAGACTCGTTAACAATCGTGAACTGTTAAAATACTTAAAATACTTTTACTGTTAAAATTTGCTAACAAATGTATTGTTTCAATAGATTCGTTAACAATCGTTGACTGTTAAAATAATTGAAATACTTTCACTGTTAAAATATGCTAACAAATATACTATTAAATATAAATATACTGTTTCAATAGATTCGTTAACAATCGTTAAATGTTAAAATATTTAAAATACTTTTACTGTTAAAATTTGCTAACAAATATATTGTTTCAATAGATTCGTTAACAATCGTTAACTGTTAAAATAATTGAAATACTTTCACTGTTAAAATATGCTAACAAATATACTATTAAATATAAATATACTGTTTTAATAGATTCGTTAACAATCGTCAACTGTTAAAATACTTAAAATACTTTTACTGTTAAAATTTGTTAACAAATATATTGTTTCAATAGAATCGTTAACAATCGTTGACTGTTAAAATAATTGAAATACTTTCACTGTTAAAATATGCTAACAAATATACTATTAAATATAAATATACTGTTCTAATAGATTCGTTAACAATCGTCAACTGTTAAAATACTTAAAATACTTTTACTGTCAAAATTTGCTAATAAAGAGATTGTTTCAATAGATTCGCTAACAATCGTTAACTGTTAAAATACTTAAAATACTTTTACTGTTAAAATTTGCTAACAAATATACTGTTTCAATAGATTCGTTAACAATCGTTAACTGTTAAAATAATTGAAATACTTTCACTGTTAAAATATGCTAGCAAATATACTATTAAATATAAATATACTGTTCTAATAGATTCGTTAACAATCGTTAATTGTTAAAATACTTAAAATACATTTACTGCTAAATTTGCTAATAAATAGATTGTTTCAATAGATTCGTTAACAATCGTTAACTGTTAAAATAATAAACAAAACACTTTCACTGTTAAAATATGCTAACAAATATACTATTAAATATAAATATACTGTTTTAATAGATTCGTTAACAATCGTCAACTGTTAAAATACTTAAAATACTTTTACT